TATATACCAAAAAATTGTTCATTTATTCTAGTTTCTGAATCTGAAGTCACAACTGAAATCCAAATCCGCGTTTAAGAGATATATGCAAATAACCGACACCAGTTTCGCTTGTCCATTGGTGTATATTATAGTAATTGTTGATTGTTTTAATAAATTTAAGTAATTATTTGACCAATTTTTATTAACTATGCTAGACACTATCGTGGGTGTTCATAGTAACTAACATACATTTGGATTGTCTAATTGCCATGCATCATTCAAATTCATATGCTTAATAATGATATTTGTAGATTTTTATTCGCAATTATTATTTTAAAATATAACTATCATTATTCTAAAATTAAAAGTATCATTACAATGCACAATTTGGATTAACCAACAACTTTACCATAAGTAAAATACAAAGTCATTTAGTTAGATGGGTGTATTATAAATAGGGTAACAAAGTGTACATGTTTGCACTATAACAGGCACGTTAAGATTTTTTAAAACCCCTAGATAGTGGTGTATAATATTACTAAACTTAATTATTATCTACAACACAAGTATACTATATTTTATAAATGAACAACTTTTTATTTAAGAAAAAATTTTCAATTTTGATTAAAATGTGTATATTTATTAAAGTTCAAAATTAAATTCAAATAATGTATAGTAAAACATTGACACACGATTTAATCAAGTCATAACTAGCTATGAGTAATAAAAGCCAATATAAATCTGAGAAATTACAATTAATCTTAATGTTTAATTTCTTATTCATAAAATACTAACGTTGTAGATATAGCCACTGGAAGTCCTAGGTTACTTTGAGTGAATAAGGGTGCTGGCTAGGCCACAAACCTACTAAACTCTAATGTTTGTAATTATAAATATAGATTAGTCAGTTAAAGTTTCTACTACTGCATTTGACTTATTGTGAAATTGTTGACCAATCCAAATTATGCATGGTAATGATATTTTTAAGTTGAGAACATTCTAGAATAATGATAATTATATTTTCAAATAGGATTTAGCGATAAATATTTTCTCTAATTTAACATATCATTATCAAATAGTCAGTTTCACTATTACGTTATAATTTTAAGCAATTAGTTTAATAATTATTAACTCAATTTACAAAATTGTATATAAAGGGTTAAAATTTAAAAATTGAGTTATACTTCTTGTATTTGTGATAACAGAATAAATTGTATTTTAAATTGTAATTAAATGTAACTAGTTTATAATTATGTATTTGTTTATACAACTGTATTACTTATTAATGGCCAATATTATTGAGGCTATAATAAGTGTAGCAATCGTTTACATTGTGTATAAGATATGCCGATTCTATATCCTAAGACATAGTATGCCCCCCGGACCACATCCCTATCCACTAGTGGGCAACCTTCCATGTAAGTCATAAACAGAAACTGAAACAATCTAGGGCATTTCATAGGGTCAAAACAAATGTGTTAACTGTACGAAAATATTATTACTATCCTATAATTTGCTAATTAAATATTGTATTTGTGTAAAGTTTGAAAGTTATCAAGTTTAATATTATTGACATATACACCAGTGATCGCCACTAGCCGGTGTGTGAGACGGTGTATCTAGGATTGGCAAATAATAGAGGAATTCTCCCTGAATATATAGATTTACATAGAATCGCACATAAATGAATTCATTTAACAATTAATAATTTTTAAATTGCTTTATTGAACAGTATTTAATACTATTTAGTACTTGATTAATTGTTATTTAATTTGTATGTAATAAGTTTATATAATTTGAAAATAATTTTAATTATAACATTAAATATAATACATAATAATAATTTATTAATATATTTTAAAAATGAGTCAAAATAATAACAATTTAATAAAAAAATATACATAATTTAATTGCTTGTGAAAAATCTTGCTAGTTATTATTTTATCAATATTTGGTTTAAATTTGTGAGCACTAATTAATCGCAAACGAGACTCTAATAATTTATCAGATAAACGGTTTGTTCGACTATTTTTAATTAATGTCATTCGCGAGAAAAGCTGTTCACAATCATAAGTAGTCCCGAAAAACGACATATTATAAGCGTTTTTGGTTATAATTTCAAAATCACATGATATTTCGCGGTAGAAATCGACTAAATTTAAATTTGTCAGGTTTCCTCAAACATACGTTTTTTCAATTACAGCTCTTACCAACAATTAATTTAATTTAATATTAATTATGATAAAATTTATAAAAATAAATTTACTTATTAATTCATCTATATTTTAAAATTGATATATTATATAAATATTTATTATAAACAACTGTTAATTGCAATTAAATGCTATTTAATTATGTTTTATTTGAGAAATAAATGCATTGCTCTGTGGTGCTATGGTAATATTCAAATATTCCGGGAAAATTAAAAATTTTGGCAATCCTAGCCACACCGTCTCACACACCGCCTTATGGCGATCACTGATATACAATGTACTAAACAATATACATAAATATCTATATGTCACTTATATTAAACTTGATAACTTACAAACTTTACACAAATGCAATATTTAACGAAGAAATTATAGGATTTTCTCAGAGACTCATTCCGTATTCCTTTCCAAAAGTTATGTAAATTTCGTATTATTTGTATTCCTTTCGTAAATTTTAAATTTTAAACATAATTTAACAAACAATAAAACTGTTTGATTAACACCAGGGCTAGATTGTTGCTTTTCTCGTTATTAATAAGCTTTAATAAACGGTTTTGTTTAATTACTTGTCATCAAACGGTGCAGTATTTAGGGGTAAAGGAAAACACTGGGACGACGTGATTAGGCAACTGACCAAACAGTACGGCCCGGTGTTCACTGTTTGGATGGGACCCGAACCGCATGTATTCGTGACGGACATAGAGTTGGGTCGACAGGTGTTCAATAAAAGTGAATTCTCCGGAAGGCGTTCCACTTATATGGGTATTGAATAGCAATATACTTTGCATGCAATACGGCAATATATCTGATAGGATATTCCGATAAGTGTATTAGAAAAAAGCTTTAATCTTAAGCTTCCAATATTGCTTCAAACTTTACATGTAAGTTATCTCTAAAGTTTGAAGCAATATTGGAAGCTTAAGATTAAAGTTTTATTTCTAATACACTTATCGGAATATCCTATCAGATATCATAATTTGCGTACAATGTTATAGAGTATTCATATAGATAAACATTATTGATAAATTATTTTTATTTAAACAGACGAAATATTCTCGAATGAGAAGTACTCCGAGATTTCGTACACCAAATACGGTCCGCTCTGGAAGTCATTGAAACAAATGGCAATTTTCACCTCACAGTACGGTTTAGTCAGTTGTTTATATTAGAAGGGCCTGAAAGTGAGCGCAGGGTTGGTGTTCAACAAAACTGAAACCACTTGTTTACGGCATAAATGTGGGCAATTAATCCCTACTGAATTATACTCGTATAATATAGTATAGTAATGATATCCAGGCCCGGTAAACTATGGGAATGTCTATACTTTTTGCTGTTAAATATATCCATTCCTAATATTGTAAGTCTGACTCGTATTTATAGCAAAATGTATGGAGTGTTTATAGCGTGTCGACCGATATAACCACCGATTTGGGCACCTAAGACATTCCCATAATTTACCGGACCTGGATATTATTAATATACCATTCAACCATGGTTCACAATGAGCCACGTTCCCAGTTAAGATTAATATTGTATTACTCATAGATTTCATGTCTTTATTTTATGTTCTAAATGCACACATTTAGTGAACTGGTTAGACTTTCCGGCTCATCGTTTGTATATTGTTCAGACAAAAGTAACAAATGTGCTTTTAGTGAACATTTTAGTGACAACCGTAAAGCATAGAAAGTGTAGTAATGGAGTGAAAAATTTTAAATTCACAGTTTACGATTACACAGTTTAATATATTTGCATGAATGAGCAAGGTGAGTAATCTGTGAATTTAAAGTTTTTACTCCAGTACTATAATTTCTATGCTTACGGTTGTTACCAAAATGTTCTCCAAATGTTTACACATTATATGTCTCTTATAGAAAGTATTCGACAAACGATAAACTCGTAGACATTGTCACCGAATGTGTGGACAAAACCATCAAAACCATGTTAGAGAAGGAAGGGGTGAACAAACTATTTGATCCGAGAAAGTATGTCTACCTAATGTGTCTTAACATGTTAGCCGGAAACGCGTTCGGTACCAGGTGAGTCATGCTAACTATAAATGCACATTTTTAATAGACCACATATATTGCCATCCGATAGTCAGTAGGTTTTATCAATTAAATGTCTAAAGCGTGTTACACTTGTTTCAATGCAATAATACAATATATAAATCAGAACCAACCAATTGACCTAACTTTTCAATTTATCTCTAAATCATAAAAAAATAAAATTTATAAACGACTGCAGTTATGACGTGGACGACAGGGAATTCAAATTCATAAAATACGTGATCAACGACTTCAACATCGAGACCAAGGGTCGGGTACTTTTATGGCAATTCTCGGCGCTGTTTCGACTTTTGGACAGACGTTTGGTGGGGAAACAGCGCCAACATTACGTCGACTTGATTGCGTTGATCGCCGACAAGTTTAGCGCCCATTACGCCGACTATATGGAGGGCGCCGAGCGAGACATGTGCGACGCGCTCATCACCGCCCGGAAGGAGGCCCTCCGGGAGGGCCGGGACGGGCCACACCTCACGGACCCCATGCTCGCGATCGTCGTGTTTGACGTGTTTTTTGGCGCCACTAATGTCATTCAAATGACGTTTCAGTGGTTACTCAATCTGTTGGCCTATTATCCGACGACTCAGTCGCTGCTGAGGGAAGAGATTGACGCCGAAATCGGCGACCGAATGCCGACCCATGAGGACAGGGATCGGTGCCATCGGGTCATGGCGTTCATCGCCGAGACGATGCGGTTCAGGGACGTGGCGCCCATTGGTCTGCCCCATGCAACCACCGCCCCCGCCACCATCGGTATCACCCTCTAGATACCATTATTGAGCAAATTTTGACCAGATGCTATTTCAATTTTGACTTAACATGGATAGATACACTCGTTGTCATGCGTTACTCAAACGCATCCGACGTTTACTTATATACAGGGATGTGCACCAGAGACAGTACTAGTTTAATTTTGGAGCTAGTACACTCAAACCTTTGTTAGCAATGAATTATATCTAAATCTCAATAGATTAAATAAGTGATTAGTGTGCTATAAAGAAATTTTCCCGTATAAATTTTTAAATATTATTTCTCTGATCAAAAGTAATCCCTGATTAACCTCTGAACCCTAGCATTGGACACTTATCATATTTGACAGTTCAATGTGTCAAACTTGTTTATATTACTAATATTTATAGATTTGTACGTGAAAATTACTTTATAGCACACTAATCACTTATTTAATCTAGTAAAATTTTAGATGTAATTCATTACTAACAAAGGTTTGAGTGTACTGGCTCCAAAATTAAACTAGTACTGTCTCTAACGCGTAGCACCGTATATTATGCTCAAAAATTCATAACTCATTAATAACTTTATTAATTTAGCTGGTTTACATTAAAATATTTGTAAAAAAATAAACATACGATGCGTTAGAGTAACGATTTATGGAGAGTATCCATTTTGTATTGTAGTCAACTAGCCCACATATTGGAGGAGTTATTTTTTCCAAACTCCCCACATTCTGCATACACGGGTTCATCTTAGCCCTCTCGCATATATCTATTCTAATTTATACAAAACTGATAAGCGATACAATATACATATGTATTATATTTAATGTTATAATTAAAATTATTTTCAAATTATATAAACTTATTACATACAAATTAAATAACAATTAATCAAGTACTAAATAGTATTAAATACTGTTCAATAAAGCTATTTAAAAATTATTAATTGTTAAATGAATTCATTTATGTGTGATAAAATGTAAATCTATATATTCAGGGAGAATTCCTCTATTATTTGCCAATCCTAGCTACACCGTCTCACACACCGGCTAGTGGCGATCGCTGACTTAAGTACTTATGGTATTGGCATCTAGGTGATTAATATGAGAACATAATTAATACATTTTAAATTGTTTATTTCGTGTCACATTTTAAATTAAAAATAAAATTAATTAATTATTTTGTTATAAATTCAAATACAAATAAATATAATTATATTGTCTGTTATAAATAGTTGCCGTGGTGTAAATTGACCTGTTCTATATTTGTAGCATGGAAAATATTAAATTTCACCTATACATAGACTACACGTGCTGTCCATAAACTCAAATATAGTAATTCACTCAAATATATAGCCAATGAAATAAACGGAAACAAAATATTGATTTATTTACGGGACTCACCTAAAAGACCTACGAAAATACTCAAACTCAAATAACTAACTGGTCAATGGACATTTGATTTAATTTAGGTTAGTTTAGGTTAGGTTAGGTTAAGACACCCATATTCCACTAATCAAATTAAAAATATGTCCACTGGTCAGTTAGTTATTTTAGTTTAGGTCTTTTGGGGTAGAGCCTTTATTTACACATACCGTTCCCTTACATAATATAAACTGTAAGTAAAAATTTATTTATAGTATATGCTAGCAATTTTTTATCCCTGAAAATATTTTTTCAAAATATATTTGTTTTATAATAACTGTAATATTAATAATAGTTCAGTTAACCTAGTTATTATTATTATTATCTTGATCAATTATTTTAATGACATTAATCTTTAATAACAATTTAATTTAAAATAAGTAAACAAGTAATTAGCTATGAATTTAATTAGTAATAGGATATAGTCAATTTACAAACATTAATGAATAGCTATTTTAAAACCTATTCTAAGCTATTCTAACTAAAAACATATTACTGTAGCAATAGCAACTAGCTAAATTAATTTTAATTAAAAGCTCAATTATCGCACCCCACTGGGTACAGTAACTGTTTTTTATATTTTGTTGAACTTTATCTAACTTTTATAGCTATTTAGCGAAATAAACAATTTATTCCCAGCACCATGCTCCTATGGGAATTAATTAACAAACTCACGGTGCACGTAA